GACTGAAAGGTCCCGGGTTCGATTCCGGTCAAGGGCATGTACCTTGGTTGCGGGCACATCCCCGGTAGGAGGTGTGCAGGAGGCAGCTGGTCGATGTTACTCTCTCATTGACGTTTCTAGCTCTCTATCTCTCTCCCTTCCTCTCTGTAAAATATCAATAAAATATATTTAAAAAAAAAATAGTTCATGCTTTCCAAGATGCTCATGACACTAAGTATCCACCTGCTGAACTTGGGCAGTGCTGGTAGCAAGCAGTTTGTCTGACTCCGCTGATCGTAGAGGCATCGTCCTTCCTGCTATATTTTTCTAAGGAGCCAGTTCTTCCTCAACCCTTCAGTAAGAGTGTGAGTTCCTGTGTGTGTGTGAGATGCTTGCACATGAACGTGTGTTGTAAAACTGGCATTGCACCTCAAAGTAACAGCAAAGCAGTTTGCTTAGTGGGGTTTGTGAATGGATGAGGGCCACTGATCTGCCTTTTTTTCTCCTTCATATCCCCCCAGCCTCAGGCTGACTCCTTCAGCTTAATTTCCCAGGCTGCAGCAGTGACTCCACCCTCCTTTTGCCTTCCCCTCCTCTTTCCTCCACCTACCACACACATGGGCTTTGAGTTATGTGCCTCCTGTTCTAATGAGATAAACAACATGACTCTCACGGGGCTCTGCTCATCCCTTTATAAGGGGAACTCCGGAGCTGAATGCATTGACCCTATAAAGGCACCCTGATGCCTCTCAGCCTACGGAGGAGAGTGAGGAATGGGGACAGGAGCCCCCAGAGAATTGTTGGGGCTATGTGCCTGCTGAGATGACGTGGAGTCAAGAGAGACCTCAAGGGAGGCCTGTTTCCATTCTCGTGGCTACAGAAGCAAAGAGCAGCATGGACATGGGATTGGAGGCCTTGTCATGTCATGTGGGCATGGGTCCAGACTCATTTAAGTCAGTAACTCAGAATAATTACTGACATTTGTACAGGGCTTCATGATGATAAAGAGCTTCTTCTTGAATATAAGCGAATCCCCATGACAGTCCTTATGCAGTAGGTGCTGTTATCTTACAGGTGAGGAGACAGTCTCAGAAAACCGTGACATTTCTCAAGGTGACAGGGAATGGTGGTGCAGGGACCCATGTGCTCCTCCTCTGCACTGCGGAGCTTCTCTAACCCATTAGGGAAAGGGGAAGAATGAAATAAAAAGTGTTCCCTCTTCTGGACATTCAAACCACTTGCTACAATAGACTCTCCCAGGCAAGTGGGCCTGCAGCTTTGCCTGCAGCTACAAGCTGAGTGGTCTGGGACTGCCTGCTGCTGCTGACCAAAAAGTGCAGGGACCACATTCTCAAGGAGGGCACAGGACCTGGAAAAGTGTTGACAATTTTGACCTCCTGTCACTTAGACCTTTTGAAGGTATTGGTCTGGACCAGTTCCTTCTCACTTGTATGTTTTTGGTCAACTTGGAAATACCATGAAACAGCTTGTGGATGGAGTTCAATTCTGAACCCAACTCCTGGGGTCCCTTTTGGATAGTTTGGTTGTGGGTAGATGAGTCTCCTGGAGTCAGGAACAGCAGGGGCAATGGTTATTCACTTTCTGTATTTCTGAGCCTGGTTCATTTCTGGTTGAATTTATTTGGTAAGTATCTCTTGAAGTACCTGCCAGGCACTGTGCAAAGCACTGGGGATACTCAAAATGGACATAGTTCCTGCCATCCTAAATCTTTTATTATTATTATTATTATTAAATATATTTTATTGATTTTTTTACAGAGAGGAAGAGAGAGGGATACAGTTAAAAACATCGATGAGAGAGAATCATCGATCAGCTGTCTCTTGCAAATCCCCTACCGGGGATGTGCCCGCAACCAAGGTACATGCCCTTGACCGGAATTGAATCTAGGACCATTCAGTCCGCAAGCCAAGGCTCTATCCACCTAGCCAAACTGGTTTCGGCCATCCTAAATCTTATAAAATGAGTAGGGGGGACAATCTAGTAAGCAGGCAATTAATGACAATATCTCGGGGAACACACAGGGAGTCCAACAGAGAAGGTCATTCAACCAGTCTTAGTACGTCAGAGAGGACGTCCAGGCAGTAATTAGATGATGCATAGGTGTCCAGAGGTTCTTGTTCACACATTAGAACCATCTATAAGGTTTTTTAAAAAAGTAAATTGCCCAATCTCCCCACCCACTTACATTTGGATTGGGTAGATCTGGCATGAATTTTGGCTATTGGTGTTATTAAGAAGTTCTTCAGGTGACTTTGGTTTTAGTTTGGATTAAGAGTGGGGATTGGTGGGACTAGTTCTGGAACAGGGGGTAGCAGGTCAGGCCATGCACTTGGCCTTCACTGGACACACCAGCCCAAGAGGAGGCCAAAATTTTTATAAGGGATCAAGAATTAGTATGCCCATTCAGGAATTACAGGGTCAGAGATGGTATTGTCCGGGACTAAACCACATTAGAAACATCTAATTATTCCCCAGTGATGCCCTCCCTCAAAGAGGTAAAAAATGGACCTCCAGGGGAAGTGGAGCAATCTTACTTTATTGGTTAATTTGTCATCTGTACATTAGCACAAGTCTGATTCCCAGAGTGCAGGGGCTCAGAACTTCAGGATATTCCTACTGTGCAGAAGGCCGTGAAGTTATCAACGACGTCAAATATTAAGTATTAGGATGACTCTTGTACATGACAAGCCCTTAGCTCATAACACCGGGCTCCATCACCTTAATGGTTTCTAAGCATCAAAAGGGGAAGGGGGAGGGACCTTCAACTTGTTCATAGCCTTGCAGCCTGTGGGAGCAGCTTGGCGATTAAAAGTAAAACTTAGCTCATAAAGAGAATTTGAAAAATTTGGTTCCTGGAATAGGTGCCTCTAATTTGAACACAAACCGAAAAATGGGTAGTGATGACTAGTAAAAATGAACAATGAGTAAATGGGTATATAACAGACATCTCTATTGAATTTTTTTTTTCTTCTGCAAAGGGCAAAAAATGAAGCCAGTGTCCCTCTTAACATTTTTCTTCTTCACATTCTCACCTGAGGACATGCTGAGACAGACACACACACACACAGAGAAAGAGAGAGAGAGAGACCTAGATGTGAGAGAGGAACATCAACCCAGGTCTGTGCCCTGCCTGGGAAGTGAACTGGCAATCTTTCGATGCACAGGACAACACTCAACCAACTGAGCCACTCCAGCCAGGCCCGTTTAACTTCTAAAGGCCCCCGAATGGCAGACACATGGGAATATAGTCCTGATGTTGTCTGAAGCCCATGGTTCTAGATGTAGGAAGGGACCCTCTCATGTAAAGTTACCTGCATCTAACAGTTGTCATGTGCGAAATTTATCTACAGTGGACTGAATTGTGACCCAAGTAAAGTAAAGCTGGAACATATTTGTTCATTAATTCATTCAGCAAAATTTAGTTTGATAGTTTAGTGTGTGAGGTTCAGTTCTGGTTCTGGGGGTTCTACAGGGACAAGAAAAAGTCCCTTTCCTTGCCAGTCTTTTCACTCTAGCAGGGGTGGGTTAGTTGGCTGGTTTATTTTGGGGTGCATCAGGTAGTCTTTTTAGTCTGCAGATACCTAACCCAGTGGTCGGCAAACCACGGCTCCTGAGCTCATGTGGCTCTTTGGCCCCTTGAGTGTGGCTCTTCCACAAAATACATGGCCTAGGTGAGTAGGTTTTGAAGAAGTGGCGTTAGAAGAAGTTTAAGTTTAAAAAATTTGGCTCTCAAAAGAAATTTCAATTGCTGTACTGTTGATATTGGGCTCTGTTGACTAATGAGTTTGCCGACCACTGACCTAACCAGTCTCAAGCCCTTCTTCCTCACCTCTCAGCCTCCACCCCTTGCTCTTTTCTCTGGGAATAGACCATGGTCTAGTGTGGGGAGTCCATGGCCCTCCAAGGCTTCTGGCTGCCACTCTATGTGTCATAGGAGCCACAAGAGTGTTGCCTAATGAGCAAGAAGGCTCCTCATGTGTTACTTGGCATGACACATGATGCTGGTGTGGAACTTTGGTGCCAGTTTACATGGAGAATCTTGTTGGGAGACAATAGGTGCATAAGCCCAGCCACAGGTCTCCTGCCCATTCTGTTCTGTGAGGCCCAGGCAGGTGGGTGGGGAATACAGGTTTGCTGGCTTTGCAGCAGCCTGGTCACCAGAGCAGGCCTGTGTTCTTATGGAGGTTGCACAGGCTCCCTTTGGCTTCAGCTAGCTGCCAGCAGCTAACGGGATGGAGGGAGCCAGTAGGTAGGCGGTCTGGCTCCTTAATCCTGTTTCCTTGCAATGTTTTCTAATCTGGGCTGACCATCCATAGGCAGACTGACTTCTGCTGCTCCACCCTGAAGGGAACTTGCTTGACTTGCACAACGGGCTAGTCCAGTGGTCGGCAAACTGTGGCTGGTAAGCCACATGTAGCTCGCGAGCCGCGGTTTGCTGCTCTGTTGGCTAATGAGTTTGTCGACCACTGGGCTAGGGACTTAATCACAAGGAACAGCAACAGGCTGTAATTATTGGAATTGAGAGTCTAGGTCAGGGTTCGGCAAACTCAGTCAACAGAGCAGCAAACTGCGGCTGACGAGCCGCATGTGTCTCGAGAGCTGAAGTTTGCTGACCACTGGGCTAGTCGATGGGCAGGAGCTGAGATCTGTTGCTTTGGAAACACTGCTGACTGAATCTGGAAAGGTCCCTCTTAGGGTCCCTAGGTCCACAGGTCCCTCTGACCTCCCCAGGCCAGGAAAAGAGAACTTGTTTTGGTAACAATGATGGCTCTTCCTGGCATGGGCTTACCGAGGCAGCATGGCGGAGTGGACAGAGCAAGGGCTTTAAGGTCAGATGACCTAGATTCTACCCCAGCTCTACATCTTTCAGCTGTGTGACCTTGATAAGTCACTTCATCACTCCAGGCTGCTCTCCCTGTGAGTGAGAGGGTCAGACAGCGAGGTTTCCTAGGCCACTTCCAGCCCGGAGCCTTTCATCTTTACACCGTCTCTGTCCACAGGCCTCGCTCCGGGCCAGCTGTACACATACCCTGCGCGCTGCTGGCGAAAGAAGAGGAGATTGCACCCGCCTGAGGACCCAAAGCTGCGGCTGCTGGAAATCAAACCTGGTCAGTATTGTCTGGAGCTTGGGTGGGCCCGTGATGGGAGAGGTGGGGCCTGCTGGGCTGGCCCAGGACAAGGCGGCTTTGCTCCTTTGTCTGGAGTGCCGAGTTTTCCAGGAGTGCGAACGTGCCCGCATGATGTTCAAAGGTGTGCCTGCTCTCACAAATCAACATGTCCACGTGTCCACCAGAGCTCCCCTCCCCTCTGGTGTCTTGTGCAGGCGCAGGGTGGGAATGGGCCCAGGATGAACCACATTCTCACAGAACAGAAGCTGCGGTTCTTAGGGTCGGGTAATGCCTTCCTGTGGCTTCAAGTAAAGAAACCTTGTGTTCCTAAGAAGGAGGGTGTGTTGTGTACCCTCCCCCACCCTTACTGTGGGTGAACTTTTGGAGCATCTTACATGAAAGGGCCATTCACTCAGATAGAACCGTCTTGGACATGGAATTGGGAGAATTCGAGAAAAACATTAGCTTATAGGTGATGCTGATTGCTTTGTGGCCTGCAGAAGGAATGGGTTGGTAGTCTTGCCTGCTTCCTGACCTTTTGTTATGCTTCTGACTAGATGGCCATCTTCAGACCTGTGTCTGGTTGCAGCAAGGCCAAGTGATTGTCCTGGGTCTTCGTTTTAAGGGAACCTCTGGTTTTGGGGGTGCTGGGGCTGGAATGGGACTTGGGGGGGGGGTGAGAACTCTGCCGTCAAGTAGAGCAAATGCAGAACTGACACGTTTCGTCCCCCCTCGTCACCAATGCCATGCAGACCCAACCTCACCCCTGCCTTTTCGCCCTGACCTTTTAGGTTGTGTTTTCTCTGCAAAACCTCTGCTTAGAGCTGTTCAGAATGTTTTCACTCCCAGTTTCATGGTTAGGCCTGCTTTGACTGCTTCAGCCTAGGCATTACCTGTGTACAGGTGCTACTTGCTGGGGGTGGGAGGGAGGGGGCTGTATTCTTCAATGCACTTCATCCAACCTCTCAAATGGCCTTGCACAATTTACAGACCCTTGCATACACTCAAGGGTAGGAGAGCCAAGTGTCTTGGAGTGGCACAATCCAGTAGAAATATAACATAAGCCACAGGTGTCATTTTACATTTTCTAGTAGCCATATTAAAACAGGAAAAAGAAACAGGTGCAGTTAAATTTACTGATTTTATTTCGCCCAAAATATAAAAGTTTTGATCATTTCAGCTTGTCCTCAATTTAGAAATTATGAATGCGACATTTTCCTTTTTTTTGGTGGTATTGTTTATGAATGCCTGTGTGTATTTTACACACTCAGTCCCTTTTATTGTGGACTAGCCACATACAAGTGCTCCGCTGATCACAAGGGGATAGTGGTGCCCATTTTGGTCAGAGTGTTTCTAGAACTACGCTCAGCATATGGTTTTGACCAACACAGGCATCACCTGGGAGCCTGGCAGAGATGAAGAATCTGGGCCTCACCCCAGACATGCTGGGTCAGAAGCTGCATTTTATTTTTTTAAATCCTCACCCAAGGATGGACACACACACACACACACACACACACACACTCACACACTGAGTGGCCTGATTGTTATGATCCCTGAAAGCATAATTGGCCACTCAGTGTATATCCTATATAATAAAAGGCTAATATGCAAATTGTCCCCTTGACCAGGAGTTTGACCAATAGGCAGGCTGGTCAACCGTCCATTGGCCCCCCCTCCCCCCCATGCTGGCTGCACCCCACCCATGTACGAATTCATGCACCAGGCCTCTAATATATATATAATCATAGTAATCTGGCCACTCAGTGTGTATGTGTGTGTGTAAGTATCTTATAGAACTGTAAAATACCTCAGACATCATTAACTCCAATCCCTTGTTTTATTGAGGTCCAGACAAGTTAGGAGACTGCACAAAGTCACACAGCAGTTCCTGGGGGAAACAGCAGAGAACTCAACGTTGCTTGATTTCTCTTTTCAGTGCTTCTTCTGCTTGCCCATGCTGCTGAGAAGTATTCTAAAAGAAACTTGAACAAGACTTTTCCCTCTAAAATCCTTATTTATATAAAAAAATTAATTATGAAAATGTACCCAAGGGATAGTTGGATTCTTCCAGTCAGAGTTGTCAGACTTTCAAATCAAACTAGCCTCTACCGAAAAAGGGACATTGGTTCATGTAACAGTAGATCTCAGAGTTCACTAGTTTCAGGCTTAGCTGAATCCAGGGGCTCAAGCTTCCTAGTGAGGGCTCTCTGTCTCCTTCCCCCAAACTCTCTTCTCTTCACGCGGCAGGCAAGGTAGCCAGCAGCAGCCCCAGCCTCAGTGCTCAGCCACACCCAGCAGAAAGGCGAGTTTCCTTCATCAGCTGAGCTGGCTGGGTTTATGTCCGTCCCACCAATCACTGCCACCTGGGGATGGGGCAATTTAATGGCCTCATCATCATTATATCACCAGTGTCTGAAAAGCACACTAGTTTATAAAGCCTTTTCATGTATGTCACTTCCTTGGTCCTGACCCTGGGAGGCAGAGAGGGAAGGACAGGTTAAATGAGCCCATTTTACAGGCCGGGAGGTCAGGCTGCAGACAGAGCTAGGGAGAGTTTACTGGGCTGCTCACACACCGGAGAACCAGGCCTCACTGTGAGTGGGACCGAGGCAAGAAGCTACTTGCTTCAGTAGCTGTGTCTGGTCCTCCCACGCACGGACGTGCACATTGAGCACACTGGCCTCCCAGCGGCAGGCTATGCAGCAGCTGGGCTTGCAGCTGGATTCGGACTGCCCCATCCCTGGCCTGCCATGACCTGTGCGCGGAGGGGAAAGATGGACCCTAGGGTTTGCTGTGGCCAGGTGCCCACCAGCCCATTGTGTGCATCTGTGATCATTAGAAAGTTTCCCTTGACTTCTCCCTCATGCTTGGGCAGAAGCTGAGGGGGCCGTTCCTGGGCTCAGGTAGAAAGGCCCGGCCTCTGAGATGCCGGAGTCCTGGGGGAGGGCCCTCTGGGGCGTGGCCACATCCCAAGGTGGAGAAACACCCCAACTAAGTTGGGTTCACCTGGGGTAGGGCTCACCCTACAAGCCAGCCAGTGCCCAGGCCACCAGAACCCCTGGCTGGAGTGAACAGCTTTTGAAATGACAAAGCTCTCTGATGGATGGGCTTGTTGCCCCTCTTTGGATAATCAGGCCTACTCCTGGAAACAAAACCCCCAAAGCCGTGGGCCAGATGTTTTGCCATTTCTGTGTCCTGCGCTGAGTCTGTACTACCAGGCCGGGCCTGGCCCTCAGGATGTACCCCGACACCAGTCTGCGACCGCAGGTTGTGAATCAAGACGCCAGGGGCGTGTCTGGGAGTCCGGCCGTGGCCCTCACAGCATCGGGGCCCTTCTAGAGAAGCGAAGCAGCACAGAAATGCACCGCCCGGCACACGGCTGCATTTTGGATTTTTCACACAAGCCAACATTTCAGAAAAGGGCCTCCCTCCAGGGCCTCAGCAGCAGGCCTAGGTTGTGCCTTGGAAGAAGGCGCCCCCTGTGGGTGGACCTTTACGAAACGATGCCCCTTGGGTGTGTTAGTATAGCGCACGCTGGATCTCAGCCCCCGTCAGTGTCTCTGCCTCATCGTTGGCAAAATGCAGTTTCTAGCTGAGAGGATCTTTTTCCGTTTTGGGGGTATATCCTCCTCAAGCACAGGGTCCACTTGGAAAGTATTTTAAAACAATTCTCTCCTATTTATTTGTATTCTACTTGATTTGAGTTCAAAAAGACTAGGTTTTGTTTTTTTTAATGTTTTTTATTGATTTTTTTTTACAGAGAGGAAAGGAGAGGGATAAAGTTAGAAACATCCATGAAAGAGAAACATTGATTGGCTGCTTCCTGCACACCCCCTACTGGGGATGTGCCCGCAACCAAGGTACATGCCCTTGATCGGAATCAAACCTTGGACTCTTCAGTCCGCAGGCCGACAATCTATCCACTGAGCCAAACTGGTTAGGGCAAGGATTAGGTTTTTCGGTTGGTGCTTTTAGGTGTGACTCAGGGTAGAATCATCGGTCAGAGTCCCTGGAGAACTTGCTGCGAATTCCTGGTTGGGGTGAACAGTCAGCGGGTGGACGGATGGAGACCGATGTCTTCAGGGGCAGAGGAGCAGGTGAAGGAGGCAGACGGAGCGAGAGGCTCGGGACCTGCTCTCTCTCACCCACTGCGGTGGAGTTGGGAGTAACCTTCCTGAAGATCAGTGCATAGAACCTGTCAGTATTTAAAAAGCACGTGCCCTTTGGCCTAGAAATCCTGCTGCTAGGAATTTATCCTCCAAGTTACTATGTAGTAACAAGGTAGAAGGTTGCCTTTGTGACATTGTTTGTAATGATAACAACAAAGAATGGAAACAACCAGAAGGCCCATTGATAGGACACTACTTAAATACTATAAGATGGAATACTGTTCTGTCTTATAAGATGTCCAAGATCTATTGCTAAGTGGAAAGATACAAAGCAAATTGCAACATTATGGGCAACTCTGGCTGAAAATCGATAACTGATTTGTTCACCCTGGGCTGATTCTCTTTACATTTATTTGAATTTATGTTGAAGGAAAACCCACAAATGAACCAACCTACCCTTGGCACTCCTCCACTGCCAGCCTCTATAATGCTCTTCCTCTTCTCTCTCTTCCCTTCCAGCCTCCTAGTGCGGGTTCTCCCGAGCTCCCCTGGACAAGCCCTAAGCACCTAGTTATGTCTCTGACTCTTGGAGCCTCCCATGGGCTCCACCATCAGCACCCTCATCTCCTTGCGGGGAGGGAGAGGCGTTCTCCTGATTTGTGAGAGACAGGGGGCGCTGGCCTGAAGCAACATTGTCTCAAGGCATGAGTTTCCTTCCTTGTCAGACCCTTCCACAGAGAATGAGGGGGTGCCACAGGCCATGTATCATGCCAACACCCAGCCTGTCCCTCTGGTCTCCCTTTGTCTCCTTGCCTGAGTCTAGCCAGGGGCAGGCAGCTTTCAGCAACAAAAGCCAGGGTGTCACGTGGGTCAGAGTTGTCCTTCACC